CTTTTCTCCACATTGGCCTCATGGACGACCCACGGGAACGTTACACTGGCAGCAGATTCAGACAGTGAGGAGGTTGGGGAGGAAGATGGGCCAGTCCTGGAGTCTGGGGAAGGCTCTGGTGAGGGCTCTGTGTCGGAGGGCAGAGAGGGGGCCAGAGCCATAGGTCAGTTATCAGCTGCTTTCAGAGTCAGACACCAGTGAGGCAGACGAACAACTGGAGCCTGTTCCCAGTGTGCGCATGCAGAATTCCCAGGCGAAAGCAACAGGCGTTGACTTGGGAGTAAGGCAGTGGTGGGTTCCAGGCAGTGCGGCCCGGTACGGCTGTACCCATAGTAGCCAGGAGGAGTGGCCACTGAACTGGTACGGTGGCTCATTTGGCCCACCCGCCCACCCACATTTCCATAGCTGTTTATAACGCGACCAGCCAATTGCAAACATCAGACGGCGCCTGCATGACCTCCACCGAGCAGCTGAGTGTCCCAGGATGGCTGCGTGCACGTGTGTGCACAGCACCCATGCCCGACTAGGACACCCAGCCCCGTGTGCAGCATACAGGTTGCGACAGGGTCCGTAACTCACCACTGGAGTAAGGCCGCAAGTGGATGATGAATGGCCCCTCCCAGAGGGAATAAAAGAGGAGCAAAGGGGGAGTGGAGTTTGCAGGAGACCATTAGTTGGCTTCATTGCTTTGTGACTCTCTGAGACGCCTTGCCAAGTTCTCCAGATCTCAGCCTGTCAGCTCTCCAAGCCAGAGAAGGTCTGTGACCGTAAATCCTCCCTTGAAAGATTTTGGTAGAAGTGAAGGAGCGGAATTCACAGTCAATTAATAAGAGGGGTTTTTGTCGGGACAACAGGGAGTTTCTGTCAGGCTCTTGGGAAGCCTCGCTCAGAACAGATGGATGGCTGTAGATAGAAGAAACAGACGTGATGGATGGAGAGAAAGGAATAGATAGATAGGAGAGATGGATGGAGAGATAGGATGGATGGATTGATGGATCTAGATGATACACGCAGACACAGGTTGGATGGAGAGATGGGATAGATTGGATGGACAGAGAGATGAATTCATTTCATTTCATTTATTAAATTTATAGGCCGCCCAATCCCGGAGGACTTACAACGAAAGAAGAAAAAAAGAAAAGCAAAATAAGTAAAAAATAGTTTAAAATACACAACACGCATACGTTCTGATCGGGGCTGGACCTTAACACTAAGGTGAACAGCCCCAGGCCCGCCGGAACAGCCAGGTTTTAACAGCTTTCCTTCCTTCCTTCCTTCCTTCCTTCCTTCCTTCCTTCCT